CATAAGACTAGGAAATTGACTTGAGGCATATCAGATTCAATATCACCTCGGGGCTATATAGTTTAAACTACACCTCTCAAAGCAGTCAAAATTTGTATAGTATATTTTAAAAAATGCAATCCTTGTTGATTCACCAATGATATAATATTTGCACTTGCTTTGCTAATGCTATTCAATGCTCGAGAGAATAACAGGATGAAGAATAACAGGATGACGTATAACATGCGAATTAACAAATCAAAACATGCAACATTTTAGAAACAGAAACTCAGCGTTTGAATTCAGGTTCCATCCGTGATTTTAGATAGACCTGGCACCGATTCACCTATTTCTGTTAAAAATGTAAACATCCTGAACTCTAGCTCATGTGATTGGCTCAGTCACATTCATATATACTGTAGATGCACCTCAGTGGAAACTGTCATCTAAACCTGGACGCAGGGTTCCCGGAACGCCGCCCTCAGCGGCGAGTGCTAAGCACAACTCAGGGTCAAAAGTGGAACGTGAAATTTGGATATGGTTTTGTAGTCCGATTTGCGAGACAAAATTCAGCTGCCCGTATTTTTCGATTGAGACGTCAGCGGGAGCTGTAATTTGTAAGGCAATGAGATTGAGCAACCCTTCATTCATATTAAGGGAATTTACACCCAGAAACTTTGTAGTTATTAATATTTTGGTTATAATAGAAAATATTCATTTTTTGGTGACGTCACACTCACATTAGTTAGCATGCATATGTCATAAGCTAGATACGTCACCTTTTCCTGGTAAGGCAAACTTTCCCGGCGTGCTTTTATGGATAAACAAACACCACTGCTTTGCACATGGATGCCTTGCCCAAGCCAGGGCTACAAGAGCCGTATTGTTAGCATTGTATAATACTTTAAATAAGGTACCTCTGCAAATGAATTATTCTTAGTTATTTTTTTTTCTTATTTTAATTTATTTCTTCTGAAAGTGTACTTTCTATCACATATAATTCCATTGTCTTTGTTAGGCCTAGTCTTGTGCCTCATCGTGCCCCACTACACAGTACATCAGCAGCCCCTCCCCATAAAGTACAGACATTTGATAGGTAACAACGTGATTGCACCTTCCTTCCCAGGTGTTCATGTAACATTGACATAATTGTTAGCTAACCAGTTGTGTGTATTTCTTTGTGAAAATGAGTACCGTGGCGTACTCATTTTCTCAAAGCATTTGCATCCCCTCTTGGAAAGAGGGATTCGAAATAATTGTCTCCATATCTTCGCAAATTAAAATAATCACCGTAATTTAGCTTACACTTATGAATTTAAGGAGCACTTAAAATGTGAAATAATCATTTCACTACCCGACAAACTCCGAAGTTTATTCATTCATTAGGCCTACATAATAGTTTCATATTGCTGTACTACATACTCCAACATCACTGGCGCCTGGTAACAACCAACTGACTGCAGAGCATTTCCGGTCACACGTTACTCTCCATAACACAGCACCCCCTAGTTCCGTCACCTCTGGATTATTATATTGTATATAATTCTATTATATAACACCATTATAACCGTGAATTTCAGCTTCAATAATCCAGTTTAGTTTCATTCACCACAGGAGGGCAGTATAGCTCTCCAAGATGTAGTCATGTGAAGTAATTAGTGCAAATTCATTGGATAACTAATTCTTCCTTACTTGGCCACCAGTCTGGTATTCTTGCCTGCATTTCTATACTCTTGTCATCCTGGTCCTTTACAAATAACTTCTTATTCTGACTGAAACATGGAATGTACAGTACAGGTAATATTGTCAGAAGTATAGTTTTCTTAATCAAGAAATTTGAAAACTTCCCAGGGTGCACTGAGGTGGCTAATTGGCCCAAAATAAAAAAGCTAATTGGGGAAAACAACTAACATTACAACCACGATACTCTGTCTACATTTCTTTTTTTTTAATTTGCTTCTAACAATGAAGTAGAAACTGATATGATAAAATTTTAACTAATTTTTTTTTTTAAAAAGAAACAACAAAATTGTCCTGTTATTCACAATTCACAATTGGATTTAAAAGCCAATCAGAGCAAATATGTTATGCAATATAAAACAGTGTAACAAACCTTAAAGCAACTCTGACCAATGCAAGTCCATTCTCTCCGATGTGGCCTCGGAACTTCCCGGCATTCTTTCCATCTTCATTCTTGACTGAGGCTCCGGGTTCAATAGCTGTTGTTGGTGAACTAAAAAAAAAAAAAATCATATGCTGGATGAAAGTATCATCATCGAATCATTCTTTATTATTAACAACAATAAAATGAATGTGACATAAAACCCAGGTCATGGCTTAATCAGGCGCACGCAGGGCGTGAACAACAAAGATACAAGATAAAACATAATTTTTTGTTTTATTTTAAAAAAGAAATAATAAATTAAAAGTAAGGGCAATTCACAAAATGACATTTATTTATATACAAGATTGTAAACAATTGAGTAAAATCATTTCTATTTAATTATCCATTGCAAAATGATATATGGCAAACCTCACAAGATTTGTAGTAAATATCTCTTTCACTGTCATTATGTAACTGTATCACTTTATAAAACAGCAAGTGAGTACTGAAAGTCTAGTATAAAGAATTTAAATATAACAATAATAATAATATTCAAAATAACAATAATAATAATAATAATAACAGCAACATCAAAAATGAAATATAAAACAATACTCTTAATTTTATCCATTTCAACACTTACTTGCTCTAATTCAGCCTCCAATAGTTTCAGTTTCTTGTCCTTTGCTTTTCCTGACCTTTCTAAATCAGCTATTCGTTTGGCATTCCATTCAATGGATTCAGATAATTTATGTTCAACAGCTTTCTGTCCGTTAATCAATTTCTCTAGTGACTGCTTAACGAAGGATTCAAAATCATCGTCTTCACCGACAGGCTGCTTCGAAGCGGTTCTTTTTGGTTTCTGGCTCATTATTATGCTAAATTGGGAGCTATGCAGCGCATACGTCCGTTCACAACAATGCCATCTGATTAACTTGAGTAGCTACTTGATTCTGATTTGCTATGCTAACAGTTGTAATGTGCAGTGGGCAACCACACTCCTATCCCTTACCCACTGCTGGGCAAAATATTGCTCAATTATTTAACAATCACTTCATATTACCCTCTTTTGCCAGCTAGTCCCCCTTAAACTTTATCTTCATTCCCCCTCCCCATCAGCTCCTATCTCAATACTCCTACTGTAAAACACCACTGTGACACATCAAGTATTTAATAGCATGACTGCCCCCCAGCTGCTCTACCCCTTAGTACTGTACCTACTTGTTTCTGAATGGTGCATCAACACACGAGATCCAAATTCAGGTATTCTTGGGTCTTGCACAACAATGGACTTCTTGACCCTAAGGTCACTTGATACATCTCCCATCATGCCATCATAAATTGCCCAAGGTTCAGCCTCATCATATAAAGCAATATCCACCTATAAAAGAAATTTTAAAAGAAAAATTTTAATTTCGATGAACACCTGTTGACAATAAGATCAAAGATACTAGAAATACAAGATAGAGCACTCGCATAGCGAAAGTGAGGTGGATATACATCACATCTTTTACGCAAATCCAGTTGTAAGTGGCGCCATTCCGTTTTCAATACAGCAATTTACACACATTTATCCAGTTCACATCCAGATGTACACGGCACACTTTTCTTTCCACTAATGATGAAAACTTTATAACTAATCAGAGTCCAGTCATACGATTCTGAGCTTTTGTGTCTGTTATTATATTCTTTTGATACATTTATTCCTACTTGTTTGTTTGTTTGCTTAAGGGTGGCAAATGCTTTCTACCTCTGCAAAGAGGGCCGCCAAAAGAGGTAATGTATTCACTGTGATGTTTGTCAGACTTTTTTTAGATCCAGCCATGCGTGGCGCCCCATTGTTTGTGATCCCACCATGCATATCGGTGGAACACTTTTTTTCTGTGGAGAGATCTATCTTGTAGTTCTAGTATCTTTGATAAGGTGTACCAACTCTTGTAAATCATTATGCTAAAACGGATCTTTTCAAGCTTTATCAATTTCAGCCCAATAGTTACTATAATTACCAGCCAAAATGCACACGGTACATGATGGTTTACAATGAACAATAGATTGGCCTAGGCATAGTTAAAAGAAATTTTGACCAAAACTATGTTTTTGCCTATTGTGTAAATCTAACCTTTTTTCTAAGTTTGTACATTTTTAGATGCTTTACTAGACTCTGTGAAGCCGCTGTATCACACTCCAAGAAGTAACAAACTTGTTCACATCGACCTGGATCAATACGATAACAAATGACATCATACAATATGCGACCCTGCAAAACCAATCAAGACTATCACACTTATTAAACAAATTGAAGATATCTGTCTGTCATAAATTATAACAAAAACTCACAAAAAATTGAACAGCTAATTTAAAAGGATGAAATAAGTTATTTTTCTCCCAATTTCTTTCATTCCATTTTATCATTGATCATATTTTTTTTATCCCTCTTTTCTTACAAACCTAATTGGGTTTATTGAGGGTTCCTTTTCTTCATTTTCTATTGTTTCTACAAAAAGTTTGTAAAACATTTTAAGGGTGAGTGGGTGATAACATTGGTAAACTAAAAATAATGTGATAACATTGGTAAACTGAAAATAAAAAGAGTGGATTTTAAGGATGGATATGTTGGTTAATAAGGATGGGTGGAGGGAAATGAAATTAGCTTGAGACTGGGTTAAAAACTTCAAGGCTGGGTGGCCCCACCCACCTCCACCCAGCATAACTACATCCCTGCTACTGTATTGCATTTTAAAAAAAACCTTCAATTACACAAATAGGAAAACAAATGTTTACTATGAATTTTTATAACAGTAGCAAGCACCATCTTGGTAGTTTATCCTTAAATAGGAAAATGGTTAAGCTCCTTAATGAATTAAAATTTAAAAGAGATCCAGTAAAACCCTATTAAGGGGACACCTTCGAGACCAAAAAGTGTCCCCTTATATAGGGGTTGGGGTGTCCCCTGAATAAGAGTTGGCCATAGTGTTAAAAGATATACTTTCCCTTATTTTAGTGCCCGAAAAAATGTCCACTTTATATGGGTTTGACAAAGGAGGGGGGTGTGCTACTGTGTCACAAAACAATAATGATAAAGCATATACCATATGTGGCAAAGACAAGCCAAACCAGTCACTCGTCGCAAATCGTGTTTCAAAGAAAATGGCAAAAACATGCTGGAATGTCAAATTTAAAAAAAATCTATTTTATTGCACTAAACAAACCTTTATATATCTATACATTATTCTATGCTGTTATTTTCCCCATTTTCAATGATAAAACAATACTTTTTAAGGATTTGAAGATAGTTTCTGCATGAGAAATGGCTGAAATCATAAACTTTGAAGGCTGATTTCTCATATATTGTTCTTTAAACAGTTGTATGTTTAAACGCTTGTAACTTCATAAGGAAATGTCCGATTTGAATGATTTTTTTAACCATTTTATAGCTATTATTTTACTCTCTAACACTGTATTAATAACTCAAAATTGATTTTTGCGACGAATGACTTGTTTGGCTTGTCTTTGCCACATATTGGTAAACAATATATTTTAATACATTATTATTATACAGTATATTTATTTATTAATTCATTATACGAATACTTCAATTTAAGAAATTTATTAACTGACCTGATTATTGAGGAACATTGTGTACAAAGCTCTATTATTTTCTGTCAGTATTTGCATATCATTAGTTGTGAGACCTTGTAAAAGATCCTTCGCATCGGGTCCTGTAACATGTAGTAGAGTGCGCTCTCTAAGATTCACACATTTCACAGCACTTGCCTGCTGGGTAAAACTCTTCACCTGCAGAATCTTGTTAACACTCACAGGCAATACTTTTTGAAACAACTGCAATGATTGAGTTTTTGCGAACATCTTTATACAAATCTGCGCTGATTGCGACAGTAAATACTTCCTCATAATGAGGGCATCTTTCATAAGTCACTAATACGAATAATTCTGTAACACCTGCAGAACTGTAGCCATATAATTTCTGGAAACAACAAAAAAAAAAAAAAGGATAAAATGCAGATTTGCTGTCTGTAAATGGTGGCATGGTGTACGACAGCATGCATCTTTTAGTGTGAATGCTATTGGCACAGCAGGAGGCCATTTCCTCCTCCCCACCCCATCTGATAGGCCTGGACCCCTTCATCCAGCATTACGACGAGGTCTTCGAACCAAAAATAACAATTTGGATACCAAAATAACATTATTTTATTGCCAATCCTTAATATTATGGTCTAAAAACACAATTTGGGCCATACTAATCCATAAAAGCTCTCCTCGCGAACTCTATCCTGTGATTAAAATATCTCTGGCACTTTGACTGAGGCTCTTATTAGTCGGTCCATTGGTCCGGAGCTCCTGTGAGAGAGCCCGTTTCTATAGCATCACTGATTAGACCAATGAAAAACCAATTTCTAGACCAACCTAGCTGGTTATAAGTTCCTACTCTGCTGCTAAAAACAGTAGTACTGTACCTGCTAGAACTAGACTAGGGCCGGGCCTAGTAGTAGGCCCCTAAGGCCATGGCCCAGCCATATAATGACCTGGTGGTCTGACCTGGTTTATTTACTTGGGCCTAGGCAGGCCTACTACTACCTTTCATTTTTCAACTGGTTTTTTAATAATAAAAGTAAAGCCCACCCTAGCACTGTCTCAGTAGGAGAGCCATACAATCCTAGGCTAGCCTCAGGTCCAGGAAGCTTGCATTTGCATGGCAGGACTCTTGAGTGAGAGAATGGCCCTAGCCCACATGGCATGGACCCGAAGCTGCATAACTAGGCCTAGGCCCTACTAGGGCCAGGCCCTAGGGAGTACTTAGACTAGGCCTAGGGAATGATTATAAAACACGATAACCTATATATGTTTTTTTCTGCATGAGACACAATGCCCATCACAAATAAGTATTTAGAATGCAATTTCGGTCAACCTATAGCAGCTAAATTACACAGTAACAAGTTTCAAAGAATTCCCTTCCATAAAATAAGTACTGCCCTCTATTGTTGTGAGTCTTGTTATAGACCATAGAGATATGTATATTTGGTATGCCAAAACGGACTTCGGTCATGTTCCAACTCCAGAGCTATAATCAGTGGCGGATCCATAAACGGAAAGCTGAATATTCATAGATTCTTCTCATATAAAATATATGAATTCCCATTGAATAAAAGAAAAAATCATCATCAAAACACTAATTTCAATATGAATTGAATGAACAATCCTGCCCGCAAAAAAAAAAAAAAAATAAAAAAAAAAAAAATGGTTCGTGTGGGAATCGAACACACAACCTCCAGGTTTGCTATTCATTATCCACCATCAACTAAAACTGCCTTTAAAAAAAAATTGGTTCGTGTGGGAATCGAACCCACGACCTTCAAAAAATATATAAGAAAAATATAAAAAAAAACTTGCCCCGTGTGGGAATCGAACCCACGATCGCTGAGTTTACTACTCCTGATCCAGCATGACTAAACGCAGGGAGGTAAACCGCGGCCCCTAAGCCATAAACGCAATAAACCTAGTACCACACCAAGTACCTGTTAGTCAACCTACTATAAAAAATTCTTTGTATATATACACTACAGGTTAATATTATGCATGGTCATGGTGTCAAAAAAATGGGTCGTGGGCCAAGAGGGTTTATTTTTTGTCTAAAAAATGTATAATTAAATTTATAATCGATTTATGGTTGTTACCATCTCCATAACTTACACACTTTTTTTAAATAGACAAAAATGTTTGACAAATTCATTATGCAAATTAGAAAAAAATAGACCAATCATGTTACGGGATTGAATGTATTGTACTCGTTGATGACGTCGCGCATTGCCAAATAACAACAAACAACAAACTTTCATGTCCCAGCCTGGGAACCAGTCAATTCGAGCGGATGCCACTTCGAGCGAAGGCCAATTCGAGCGAATTCGAGCGGATTTTTTTTTTCGAGCGGATGCTAGTTCGAGCGGAAGAAGATCCACTTGTGCGAACAAAAACCTGTGCGAGTTATATACGAATTACTTTAAAATTTCTATTTTTGAGCTAACAATTTGCTCAAGCTTTGCCTGGGAGGCAGGGGAAAGCCCCAGTCGGTTCCGGGGAAGACGCCTATAGCCTTATGTATAACAAGTCGTATTTAATGGATTTTTAGGTTAACAAATAATAAAGTTCTATTTTTTTCAAAGGGGGAGGGGCCACACAACAGTTCCAGAATAGATAAATGAGTAGCCTTATAACATTAATATGCATTGAAAGGACGCTACCAACAAACAATCAACAAACTACCGGGTTTCTCGGTTGATTTCCAAGGTACTACAGGGCTGAACTATATTTTACTTTAGGGTTAATTGATAAAAATCGCACACATATCATACGACGTCACTGACAACGCCGGCGACAGCAACTCGATCTTGAGATTGATTTTCCGAATAAAGTTATACTAAATAACTTCTAATGACGAACTATTGTCTTCAATTGTCTTTCTTGGTCATTCAACTGTCGTTTTATCTATTTTTTCGGTGATTTTCGTCGGAAGGAATCAAGATGATAAACAAGTTTCATTAGACTAAATTCTTGCTTATGCCACTGCGGTGGGGTTCCAGGCAGACACGGATATTTGACGAATTATGGCGAATTTTTATTACTTATTTGATAGGCATCGAGCTACTATAATATGACTTCATGTAGGCTATGTTTTCTAATGTAGAAATCAGCTTCAAAAACCAAAACATTTTGAATAAAACAAGAAACAAAGTGTTTGCAATGCATCTAATTTCCTTACAAATCCTCTTTTTTTAAAGTGGAATTCTACATTATGGAAATTTTGCACGAAATCTGTCAACCACGATGTCAAGGTCGAGGTTGCTTCCCCTATCGCGATGTATTCCAAGCATAATGAGGCTATCCAAATGAGCATTTGTCGAAACAGAACGCAAAATATTTTAAATTAGTGTCATTGAACTATTATTATTATTATTATTATTATTATTATTATTATTATTATTATTATTATTATTATTATTATTATTGGCGCCACCACTGGATTCAATAATCTGCTGTATACCTTGCTTTGCCATTTTCGATAGGTGAATAAGACCGAATTGTAACTTTAGAGCACTGGTGAATATTTATTACTTCGTAATTTGCATAACGAATTATTTATAAACCATGCTTCCTACGATGTCATTATTTAGGTATAATGACACTCGACTTCAACGGTTATTTAGGCCTATATATAATTGGAAGTAAAAACCATTATTTAGATATAATGACCTTGACACGATAACACGTGTGTGCAGTACATATACTGTAATGAGTTTGAAATCAAAGCATTATGGTTTTGCGACAGTTATTATTTATTTTTAAAGAAATTTAAAAGCAGTTATTTATAAATAATGAGTTTGAAGTCAATTCGTTATTTATATATAATGAAATCAGTGAACTTATTATATATAAATAATTGTAAGTTACTTTTCATTATTTATATATAATG